GACGTCGTTTCTGAGGGCAACCAAACCTCCTCTTCCACCCAGCCAGTTCTCCGCCAGCCCGTCCTTGCCGTGACTGCCTTTCCTCCGGCAGAGGAGGGATTTTAAGCCCTAACCTTTGGAGGGAGGCAGGCCAGGATTCGGCCCTGCCGAGAGCACTGATTGGGCAGCCCCCCGGCTCCTTGCAGCCGAGCCCAGGGGCTCCCAGGCTGTGGTCAGCCCATGGCATCTCTCTCCACATGCATCCAAATGGTTAAAAGGACTGTGCCCCCATGAAAGCTGACTGAAATGTTTCAATGTTTTAAACCACTGTCCTGATGGGAACATAAAATAGAACCACCCTAGGCATCTCTGTGTTTGAAATTACAGGTATATTCCAGTTTCTGGATCACATCAGCTTAAGGAAAAATAGACGGCAACTCCAGCTTTCCATGGCAAGAGGCTGCTGTGAGCTCTTCCCGCCTTGGCTCGCTCATGCCCCAGTCCACGGTGTTTCGTCAGCTCGGGGTGTAATTCAGACACAGCCAACCGTATCACTGCTTTGTGCATTTTTATTTACCGTTTTAATAATACATGAGAAAGCAACATTAAAACAGATGTTGATATTTAAACAGTTTATTGCAAATTTTACATTGCAGCAAATTTTAATCCAGAACCTAGCCTTATAACTAGTTAAAGATGAGGAAGCCATGGTTACCTGTCTCTGGGGAAAGAAAGGGCCAAGTGTGTGGGGGGAACAGACAAAGCCCAGCCCCTGTGGCTGGCTGCCAATTGTAGAATTTAGGAGAGCTAAGCTAGGGAGCAGGATCAGGCCTTTATCCTGGCATCCTGAAATATGCCGTCTCTTGCTTTGCAGCTGGGAACATGCAATTACAAATCCTGAAAGGAAGCGCAGCAATTATCTGTGTGATTTCTGTGAAACGAGGTCTTTTGAATAAGGAATCAGGGGAAAAATTTGAACATGGTGGCTATTGGTTTTATTTCCACTTAATTTGTAGTGGAACTGATTAAGAATGATCATTAAATTTTGGCAGCAATCAACCAGAGAGTATATTTCTATTCCTTCTATTTCTCTCTTGGCACCCCAGAGATTAAGATTTGTAAAAATCTAATGCAAAGGAGAACAAAGCAAACACGATTTAGAAGTTCATCACTTAGTCACAAAGCTCAGAGGCAGAGGAGAGGGCTGGATACACTCCCCATAAATGGACATCACCAACATGAAGATTATACACACAATGTCGACCTTTAAAACTGGCTACTAGCTTTACAGTAAAGTCAATAATGAAATTAACTGCCACAATATACTATCCAATTAATCATTTATATTTATTTTCATTAAAGGGACACTTGCCACAAACAGTTCATCCCAAAACTCAGGCATTGTAAACCTAAAATGGGCAGAAATTCCCCTATGGTGTTCCTGTAATTTGCCCCCGCCCTGTAAAACAATTTATTAGAAACAATAACTAAGGTTTTTTGAAGGTGCATGTGGGAATCTGAAAGCTTAACTAGGGAACTATAAACTAACCGATCTATTTTAATTGGATGAGACTGATGAAATGCCAAAAAGAACTATGCATTGAAGAAACTAAACTAGATTTAAGCTGCTTAATGTCTAATAATTTTAAGATGTAACAGTGGTATCTGAAGGAAAGACGATTTTTATATTAGTTTTTTTTTTTAAATGATATGATGCGACTGACAGTGTCCCTTTGCAAGAGTGTGGGGCTATAAACCACAGTAATTCACATTCACATGAACACAGATGTTGTAAACGTCAAACATTGGAGATTTTTTTTTTAAAAAAGGAAGCACATGGTATAAAATGATAAAAAAGATTATGCTAATAAAAGCCAAATGACAGCAGGAACAGCAGCAGCAGCAGCTAGAACTGCTGGATAAGGCGCCGGCGCTGTGAGGTCTTCCGCAGCAGTCGTCTGTAGTCATAGGGATTATCTTCGGTTTTACTCTCTTCCAGTGGTCTTTCTGCAACCCTCGACCTAGGGATTCAGCACAGAAATGGTTTAGAAATTGAAGTCAAAACATTTACCTTGGCAAACACTCCTAATCGACTGCTTCACCTCCTCCCTTAGGGGGGGAAATAAAAGGAGAACGAAAAAAAACCAACCGACTTTGCTAGGCCTCTTCCTGCGCAGCATAAAGCAGGCACCTTGCAACAAACACATTATAGACTAAAAGCAGATGAACACAGAGGAACAACATGTTCTTCTACAAAGGGGACATAATAAAAGGACACAAAATGCTTGAGAACACGGGGGTGCTTTGCAGTAGCGTGCCTGGTGGTTACTGAACCAGATTTTCAGTCAATGTAAATTTGTTTGCTGTGTTTCTAACCTGCCTGTGGAGCACAATGTAAATGTCCATCTCATCTTACTTATTTGTTTATTTATTTGGCAAGATGCATTTTCAAAGCTGCCTCTGACAGGCTGGAATGGTGATCTGGCACCAGGTGTTACCATGAAGCAAGATTAAAAATAAAATTCAATTATTTTACAAGTGTATTACTTTGAAATAAGAACAAATATCCCTAGTGTTCTACGCTAGATGCGTACCCCACCAGTGGTCCTACAACAGCATCGGAGGTAAACTGCCAGATAAAAATTACTCAGTGCTTTTCACTTCTGTAGATTGAAAAGATTGTGTAGTCCTTAGATCTAGGTAACTCCATTCAAGAGAGGCTGAAGGGCAGAAATATTTATTAATTGCATTCATCTGCTCTCAGAGATAACAGTGTAAATTTAAAAGTTACACAGACATTTTCAATATGGGTAATTAGGATGCAGCAAGAGCAGCACATGGTAAAAGGTAAAAAATTCCTTTTAGTAAGCTCAGTGGCAAAAATCTCATTCATCTGAAACAAACCACGAGGTAACAGATTTGATGTATTTATGCACCTTAGAAATGCAACATTTTCCAAGGGACCTAAGTTATATGGTAACTCCCTGGTATTATTATTTGTAATTCCATGCCTTCATAACACCTTCCTAAAACTAATTTAGATCCTACCTGAAAAAATCCCCCCCACCTCCCAAAAAAAAGGAAGTGGCACAACATCTTCTATAAGCATTTTCCTTATTACTATAGATACATTTTCAAATTAATTGATCATCCCAGGCTTGCTGTTTCCCTCAAACCTTTGACCTTTATACTTTCCAAGTTTTTCTTACACACCTGAAGACACAAGAAGATATAAATATATCAAGACATATAAATACGTGTTTCCATGTGCAATGTGTGTGGGTATGTTGGCCAGAGTGAGAATATGAATTCCCTTAGCCCAGCAGAGGTCACCCTCTATGAAGTCTATGCGGGAAGAGAGGAGGTGGAGTAAATCCTCCCTTTAGGGTTCTGCTTCTGGCTGTCCACCTTGCTGGGGTCCACCATAGGCTAGAAACATGAGTGCTGCTACAGAACAGCAGGGGAAGGAGGCAGTTAAGCTGATGTCTTATCCATAGAAAGCAGGCAGAAAGTTTGGTGCATATCCACACTACTTAAAACCTAGATCAGAAACACAATTTGTAGGTTGTCCTTTAGTTTAATCTGATTTTAGAACAGATATACAGCAGGATATCTGTCCATCTCATCTGGCACTTGGGAAGCCAAAATCTAGCAGGTAGGCTGAACACCAATCATACCACCATTTGTCCTTGCTGCATAAAGATGGGAAATTTTCAGCTACACATTTTTACAAGTTAATTTGGCAGGATTGCATGAAAAAAAACACCAGAGTTTTGAAAGCCTATCTTTCTTTTTACGAATCTTTTGAATATCTCAACAAGGTTATGCAACACTTATTTTTTCCTACTATTATTTTGCAAGAATTACCTACCGTTCAGTAGCTCTTAATATCGAAGTCCTGCGCTCAGCTGGGTGTCTCTTCTTTCTTGTGGCAGAACTGCTGTCCTTTGAGGTGGAATCAGTAGATGAAATTTCTTGGTAGTAGATATCTAAATCTAGCACTTTGCTCAGACTGTCAATAAATAAGTACACTAAGTTAACAGTTTCACTTTTCAATATTATATTCAACATTCATAAACAAGGCAACCAAATATCATTATTAGTTGTGTTTATGCACTGAGGTTCTAAGGAAAAGCATATATAAGCACAATAAATGAGTCTCTGAAATGTGACTGCTGTATGATGCAGATACTGTGAATTCTGAAGTACTAAATACTTTCAGATTTTCATAAAGCAGACATATATGACTGAAAGTGTTTGGGTTTGCCATTATACTCAATGGAGAGGCATTTTTAGGATATAATTAATCTGACCTATTTTAGGTTTCTCTTTGAGGAAGAGATGAATTATATTCCTGAAAATAACCATTTTTGTCTCTCAGTACAAGAAGGGAGTCCAAAGGAACTAGTTCAGATATCAGTGTCAATAATGCAAATGTCTCTTATTTTGTTAGATGAATGCCATTCAAGGTATCATATGTACAAAAAAACCCAATCCCAACATTCACCTTAGAATGCCCAGGGTAAAAATAATTTCATAAAAGCAACCTGAAAAAAGAAGTTCAGAATTCAATTCTCCCATTGGTAGCAATCGGAAATAACTCATTGATTTCAGTTGCTCTGTTCTACTAATACAGAGACAGCACATGAAAGAAGATGCAGTTATTGAACCAGTTAACTAGATTTAAGATGAGTGAAACCTAACTAAGGTCAAATGAGAAAAAACACTACATTTGGATTTTTTTTGGCTAAGCAGAGGACAATAATATGTGATATATTTTTTTTTTTCTCAGGATGCAACTGACATCAGAAAAAGAGCTGTAACAGACCAGACATGGGGGACATGGCCATTAAGTGACTCCTATAAGCAGTGGCATGATCAAGTGCAATTTAAACCGTGACTGAATGAAGCTAGATACTCTGAGCACATATTGTGTGTATGTAATGCCAGTTAACTTCCTTGAAGATATGTATTTTAGATACGGAGTTTGTATTCTGCAACTTCAGCTGAGGATACTGCTAAGAGCTCATTTGTCTTGCATCTGTGACCTGGCTACCATAGCAGGCATACTGTGATACTACAGCAATGTCACTGAGGAGCAGCAGAAAAGTATAGAAACAACAATAAAATAAAGCTATGATGTGTGTCAGAAGCTGTGAACCATGTCTACAGCACACAAAAGGATCTAAGATACAGAAAGGCAGAATATATCTATTGCTTGCTTTATTTCTGCAGAGATCCATCAAAATGGGTTCGTGATATTGTAAAGACTTCTAGTTGAAATTTCAAGGGCTATTCTTCTTACCTGTTATAAATAATTATTGCTTTAATTTTTTATGATCTATTTCCAGTCATATATTTTTAGGTGAGAATTTTAAGTCTGTGTATTTTTGCTAACAGAAAAGAACTGGTTGCTCATTTGCTTTGACTGGAATTTTAAGCACCTTCAATTATTTTCTGTGTCAGAACTATCTTTGATGTGGACCTTATCTTAACTTATTATTATGCTTGTGTTGCCATGGTAAAGGGCCATGCTGTGGTAAAACTGAACGACTGAATTGTATAATGGGTTTTTGTTGCTGAAAATTGCCTATTTTAACTTTGTATACGATGTCCTTCCTGTGAATCACCAAATTACCATGCTTTTTTTTTTTTCCCCATGCTTTATTCTCCTGGTTGAAGTACAGCTAAGAACTGTTCTAGAGCACTAAAATGACAATAGCGAGATAATGAAAAAAATTACCTTTCTTTTCTTGGTTTCCGTTTTTCGTCTTGTATTGATTTCTAAGAAAATACAAAGTAATTTAAAAACTACTAAAAGAAAAGTTTATGCAAAGGTAGAATTCATCAACATGTTAGGCAGGAGAGTGTTGTATATCAGAGTAAAAAAGGATACCTAAAACTTTCAAATATCTATAGTTGTTTTAATGAATGTTTTAATGACAACACTGTCTCACTGACAGTGATCAGTGTCTCACTGTGATGCCATGAGAAATTCCATGAATACAGGCATGAATACATGCCGCCTCAGTGGAAGGAGGCATAATCCTATTCTCATTAATGTCCATGCAGTCTTGTCACTTCTTGTGACAGGTCAGCTTTTAGTAGAATAAAACGGGCACAGGCCCCATTTAAAAAGCAGTATACTAGGTGGCAAGAGTGCCCTTTAGGATACAAGACATTTCAAAATGCAGAGAAATTCATAGGGAATGTGAATAATTTCTTGCCTCTAATAGATTTCTGTCCCTACAGCAAAAACAATGTTATGTTGCATCATCTAATGCACCACTCTTCAAAAGCAGAATTTTTAAGTGCAGATGGTCTTAATTTGGTCTTGCGTTTCTTGCAAATGAGTGAAAACTCACTAGGATTAGTGACCATAAAGTCACTGAGAATCAGAAAACATGATGGGCTTCAGACTGCAGGCAAATGGACAAGACATAATCTCAAAATGAAAGGCTGATTTAAAGAAATATACCCCAAAATAAACTTCTAGTGCCTTGTAAGAACAATGAGCTATTGTCAGGCTTCATTTGCACCTGTGTATCCCTTTAGCCCGTTTGATATGCAAGTGAGAATGGAAGGCGATGAATTAATATCTGCAACATGATGTGAGACAAATTCCATTTTTGCAGAAGATAGAGAAAAATTTTCCAAAAATGCACTCATATTGATCACAGCTTCACTTGATAATCATCTGTGAATACATGCAGGTCACGGAGAATTTAATAAGGTAAAAAATCTATGATAGCTGGGAAAGCTGACTACCCTCCAGGATCTCAAGTTAGAGCTCAATGACTTATCCAGGTCTAAGGATTTAAGAACTAGTAAGTCTCCTTTCTAAGGTTCAGTGTGTAAATATTTATGCTGAACCTTTCCCTTACCAGTGAACTTAAGGTCAAGAAGACAGAATTCTCTTTTTCACACCTACCTGAAAAATATGACTAATTATAGGTCATACTGATGAGTATCTTGAAAAACTGCTGCTAAAAATAAGTTTAAAAATACCCTAGTACTATTGCAGTTTTTGTTTGCACTGATGTGATGGCTGTTTTCTGATATGGAGCTGACCATGTAACAAATCACCTTTCAGAAAATACTGTATTCCTGACTGTATAGTATTGGCTTTCTAAATATGCATTTACTTCAGAATTCCCCTTCTCAGAAATTTCCTAATGCAGAATTCAGTGTCATGCCTTTCATTTCAGTCCTTTATTTCACCAGTCTTGCTTTCGCAAATCAAATTCTTACATGTGAGTTTATTCTTAAGAATATAATTTCTTTTCAGAATATCACTGTTTCAAAGCCATGCTATTTCAAAGCCCCCATAATAAAACATAGTCTTATTTGTCCTTTTTGGTATGCCAGACACTACTATCACTAAAGGTCCTGGTGACACCTTCTGTTGAAAGGAGAAGCAATTGCTACGGTTAGTTTATTAGCTGGGCTCTCACCGGCTGTTTAAATAGGTCACTAAGATACAGGCACCTCGAGCAAATGAGTTTAATTGCTTTTTTGTTGGAACTGCTTTCTGAGCTGCTTTTACATTTTCTCTCCTTCTGCTTACTTTCTTGCCTTTTTTTTTCTGTATTTGAGGGCACCGAAGTCAAGAGTGGAAAGCAGCAGTTGGTATCTGAACTTGGACCAAAGGCTATATATAGAGACACTCAAATCCATTAGTCTCCTGAGCTGTTGGTGTTTGCCAATTCCTTCATAATCACAATCTGACACATTTGTAAAGGAAGTTACAGTGTGCATACTAATACAGCCTGCTTTAATATTTCCTCTCTCTGCAAGATCAAGCACTAATTTAGATGCTCAAAATAGCTCTTCAAACAAACCTCTTTCTCTCCCATGACTTAGAAAGAAACTACGGAGACCAGGCACTTAATTTGGTTATTGAAAGTGCAAATGCTGCTTATGCATATAATGGATGTACATATATTTAAGTACAAAAGTAAAAACTGGTCTGACCTAGGTCCCTAGTCAGGGTAACTGAACCTCAATTTCAAGTCTAGTTTGAAATGTAAAGTTTGTGGCCTGCCTCCTTTTCGCAGGACATAGTTTTAATGCTGCATTAGAAAGGAATATAGTGAATTGGGCAATTAGAAAGAAAGTTTAAGTGGGAATTATCTGGCAGTTTTAGCCCACAAATACTTGCTAAACTCACATGTATTAGCGTGTAGTAAGAGGAGTCTTCTGGATTATTTAATGTCTTGGGCTTCCGTGGCCTCCTTGGGGGTCTTTTCATTGGGCGAGAGTCTTCTACTTTGGCTGCAACTGTAAAAAAGCAGAAGATAGCAATACTTATTTCTTCATAGAACGGGAGGCTTTTATGAAAATGGGGAGAATTTCACTGGAGAGAAAAAAACCCCATATAGCCACTTTTACTGCTTGCAGTAATTTAAGAAAGCAACTGTCTTAGGCATTTCCATCACTAGCCTAGAAATAAGAATGCTTTTATCCATTTGAGTCCTGCCTACGCACAGGGACACATACCATGTAGCAAACATCAGGCTGAGGCAGCCCACTGGTCTACCTGGCACAGGCTTTTCCTTCTGCAAAGGGCTGATGCTCCACATTCAGAAAAGGGCTTTGGTGGGCAATGGCTACTGGAAGGCGACCATCTTGTAACAGGATCTGGGCAGCATGGATGCTATTTTTTTCAGACCTAAGTCGATTATTAAGGTGCTGAATGAGTGCAGTAGCATTAGACCTCTGATTCAGAGATAGGTCCTCTACATTACCACGGCGTAGATTTTCCTCAAGGTCTCCTGCTGAGGCTGTTTGTTTCAAGCCAGATCACGTACCACTGGACAACACAGAGTGACCATGTCCATTGCATCCAGTAATCTATTTTAGTGTACTCAACTTCTGGTCTCTATTTCTACAAAAACTTTCTGCAAACATGCTGAAAATGCTTTCATTCTAAGGGAAACAAAATTAAGATTTTTAACACGAAATGGAACTGCTATTCTCTGGCAGCCTCCAAACTCAGAGTTGGACACTGACTTGTGGATTTCATTGGTTGGCACATGAGGAACCAGAAAAACCTCCTGGATATTTGCTTGTTTAAAATTTATATGCAATTCTGGCAGTGCTAAGATGTAGGGCTGATATGAATTCATAGCCTGTTTGTCACAGAGCCAACAGAGTGCAGGGTTCCTGCAGAACTGACTCTGGGGGGCTGAGGGACCACAAATGTACAGCATGGTGAGCATGATCACCTTACATTCGGCTTCAGCTATAGGAAAAGTTAATAGGAGGCTATAGCAATTCCTTTACTATGAAGGGGGTTGCATGACAGAACACTGATGCTAGAGGTGGATTCTTCGGACACACACAGGGAGATGAATGAAGTCACAGCACAAGATTTAGGCACAGTGAACTGTGTGTCCAGGTATATTACATTATCCAGTGAGGTTTTATATTGTCCTTGTCCCATCACAGAAGTATTCAGGGGACAGTCCACAAGAGAAAACATCTCCTTACTCCTAAATGAACATAGTGTGAGGGTGGAATGAGGATCTAGCTCCCAATGAACACACTGAAGTGTGTTTTGCTGATCTAATCCTCCTTCACATGAAGCAGCTTTAACTCTCTAACCCAGGTATGCTAACTATATGTGATTGAGTCTTAGAAGGAAGAATATATTTTGTTCTCTAATGACCATCAGAACCCCTTTTACATGATAAAAATAAAAACTCTCGCATGTACATCAGGCATCTTTTTAATTAAGGAGGTAGCACAATCATTTAAAATGAGAAATGATCAGTGATACATCAGTGTTGACTCCTGCAAAATTAGCTGTGTAAGTTTTTTGTTCTGTGTGATAAATAAAGGCTTGTAAAGGTCACAGATATACAGAGGAGCCAGAATGAATAATGTTAATTTAAATTGTAGTTGGATAATGATTACATTTATTGTTTTAGTTTCTTATCTGAAATGCAGACTGCTTCTCATGTAATGAAAGATCAAGTATCTTTTAACATTTTGCACTTAAGAAAATAATAGTGTTTTTCTAAGCCAGGGTACAGACAATTCATGTTAAACAATGAGATTTAGATGCAATAAATTCATTTCACTAACCTGCATTAAATATAAATTACATTCTTTGATTTGAATAGTGTAACAGCCCTCACTGTGCTCTTATGGGGGCTGTTGTTACCTTGCTGCATTTCAGATGGGCCACCTGGAGTTATCCAAGTTTCTGTTTGTGAGAGAGTAGAGGCATATCTTCCCTATTTCATTTTTAAACACAACAGGAGCATAAACTGGAAACAATATCTTAAAAAACCCCCACAAACCCAAACTTAAAATTCGGTGTAGTTGAATAGAAACCCCAACGCTTTGTCTGTAGGGCATTTTCAAAAATAGTGTCAAAGATCATGACTGCATGGAAGTCTGGAAAAAAAAATTGAAGCCAAACTGAGGGTTTTAGGAAAACCCCAAGGAAAAGGCTCTCATAATACCTAAAGATTTTTTTATTGTTCCTTAAGAATTCATCACCATGTATGCTGTTACATTCTTTAATTCATCACTGTCAAACACATAAAGCATTATCATATTCTAGATTACAATTATTCCAACTGAAATTACTTGTATACTTCTGTATGTGCTCTGCAAAGAAGACTCCTATTACACTCAAACCCCAGCATTTTGACAATGCTAAAGGTTTCAGTAAAAAATAGCTTTCAGTAAAAAAAAGCTTACTCTCTGCTTATGTGTTGTACATATGTATGAGCTATGCAAAAACTGAACAGAACTACCATGTTGGGACAGGCAGGCTTCTAAGCTTGGACCTCCAACGTTCCTTTTTAAAATTACACATAGGGCTGAAAATACAATTCTGAGTTTTGTCTCCAAATTACATAGTAAGTAAGTAAAAAAATACTTTGATGGGTTTAGCTTGCTTTGCTTCACCAGAAAATGAATCTGTGATTTCCTTCTGCACTTGGATTTGTGTGTTCATTGCTACTGAAATAAGCTGATGTGGTAGTTGCTTGTACTGGATAACTCACTGTACAAAGCAAAACTTGTTTTTTTTATTAGTTGCCAATAATTCCAGAAATCATTTATTTAGTAGAATTAAAGGTGGAATGGAAATTAAATACCCAAGCCTGATACATGGTGAGTTTGATGCGCTTGTTTTCCAGATGGCCTATACTTTCCTGCATTAGGTGATGAAGCAGAAAGGAGGGGTAAAATTGTTCATTTATTAATAGGCCAATTATGTTGCTTCTAGAGCCCATGACAAATAAAACGTTTTTTTTCCACATTAAAATACTTTATATCCTATTTTTCCTTAAGACTTCAAGTATCTCCAGCAAGATCTGGCCATGTGCTTTATATGTAAAAGGAAAATTGAGGCTTTCTATCTAACATTTAAATACATATGTTACAACATTGATAAGAAAATCATTCACAACAGGAGCAGTCAAAGCACTTTGGAAATATCAGGTTGGCGATATCATTCCTATTTTACTAGCAGGATAAATGAGATGCACAAAGCAAGACTCACCAAGTCTTGCTTAGGGTTATGTCCTGGTTAGTCATTAACACAGCTAACCACCAGCTAACCCACCCCCTATTTGATGCTACACAGACATTCCTTTTTAGAGGTTTTACCAAGAGGAAGACAGGTCAAACAAGTTGAAAGGAAGGATTTTCTTCAAACCATTCAAGTGCATACAGTCATTACTCAGTCAAAAGAAAGAGGTCTTGCTCTCATGACCTGGATGCTTTGCTTTTGAACATCAAGAGGGAATGTTAGCTATGCTGTAACCTGTGCCCAGGAAGTTAAATCTCTCTGTTTCTCAAACCTGATGCAGACTGTTAAAACATACATTTTATCAAGTGATGATGGAAAGTTTTATAAAAGTTAAGGTCATTCTCCATCAGAATGAATGAAATACAGACTTAAGGGTCAGTGAAGGTACATTAAAGAAGGTAATGTGTGTGGCTGCCAGGTAACATTAAAAGAGGTTTAGCAAATCTAAGGAAAATTCCTTGTTCCTATCAGTATTTCAGCTAGCTCATTTAACACTACTACAAAGGTTGCTACTTAAGTTGCATGCATACTCTTAATTCTACAGTGTTTAGTTACAAGGTATTACTGCTTTCATAGCCCTCACTGAAAGCTCCAGATACACTGAAAAAATAAGAAAATTTAATTTAGGACCAGCTCAATTAATGTATGTGTATCCTGAACACCACCACAAACTATGCAAACTGTGGAGAGCTGCATGTGCTTGAAACATTCAAAGTATGAGCAAGAAATGCTTGAATAAAGATGAGTCAGTATCAACAGCCCTTTAGGTTGAACTGTGACTGCACATTCAAACATACAATGATAAGCTTGGGAGACAACAATCTCAAGGAATCAACATCCAAGGATGCTAATGTAAATTAATGTATGACTTACAGCAGATCTTATACTGAAGACTGGAGAAATAGCGTGGTTACAGCTGTGATAAGCATCTAAGTGTTGAAAGGTCTCTATTTATTAGGCCACCTGGAGAAACAGATAAACCTGTCTTCGGGTCATTTAAGTGAAATGTTACATGTTTGATTCAGCACTGTTCCACATCTTATGGGGACAGAAGTATAAAGACAAGCTCAGAATAAAGCGCGAAGAGTACAAAAGTAAGAGCAGTAATTTCATGGGGTTTGTAGAGGGGCTTGGAGGAAATCAGAAAAATGCAAATATAGTAGCTGGAATTCCAGGACTTGACAACAAGAAGTTAACAGGTATTGCTGCTTACAACATTTATGTGCATGCCTTTTTACTGTCCTAATTATACACAGCGTGAAGATATAATTACTCAAGTTTTGGATTTGCATATAGAAAAACACTGCTCTTTAACATTCTGGTTAGTTTTTAGGTATTGTTTATTCATGGATGTTTAGAACTGCCAAATTTGGAAATTGCAGTTGATGGTGCAAGTTCTTAGCAATCTGGAAAAAACAGAGGGATTATTCTGGCACAGACCTAGAACTAGGAACTGGAAGAGACCGAGAACTTTACAATTGCAAATGCCTAGGTCCTGCCAGACCCACTGAGAGAAGCAGTTTTCACCTCTGGCTGACACTAAGTAATTTCTGAGTCTGGTAACCTGGGATTATTGCTATTTCAGGGACGATGTTTAAGGAAAATGGCTGTATTCCATTTCCGTGATTTCCCCAATTTTATGCTCTGCCATGCCTCTGTCCAACTCCCAAAACAGATTTTGTATGTCCTGGATGCATGGTGCTCAAAGGACCACTCCAATAGCTGAGAACAACCACACAGTAGAAGTGCTTGACTACCTTGCTTTTCTCCAGTCCTATGCCTCAGTGTTCCCTGGCTTGCAAAGAATAAAGATCGGTCAGTGAATACTGTGTGCTCACCCAGTGCTACACAGGCTTCCTTTTCCTTGCAAAGACTGCCCATGAAACCCCTGTAAATAGTGCTGGGGCAGACTACAGCAGGGGGAATCCTGGATTAAAATCCTGCCTGTCTTACTGCTTCGTGTAGCTGAAAAGGTCCTCAGCTGCAGCAGAGCTCCTTGTACGATGTGAATTTCATTCTAAATATAGAAAATTATCTTCCTGAGATTTTGTACTTGAACTGTCATTTAATACTTAGAAGGATGGGCACCATTACTCATCTGGAGGAAAAAAAAAGAAAAAAATTGCTCCCATAATGATCAAATTCACTTCACTTCAGGCTTTGACCTCAAAAACTTGCAGTGGCCATTTGTGCATCTATTCTGACACCATAGTAACCCAAGGCTCACTAACAGTCCAAAGGTGCAGTCCTGGGATGGAACCATTATGTTAACCTGAAAGCATTCAGCAAGCAAATATAACCTACTCAGAAATTCGAGCCACAGGGAGTATTGTTTACTCCAGGAACTGTGTGCAGCATGCTTTATGCATTTTTATAAATACAAATAAATTCACTTAAGAACAACTTAACCTTGTGGATTTAAGATTCATTTAACCTTTTCACTCATATGTTCTTTAAACTGCAGGTTTTGCATTTTTATTAAAATAAGCAGTTTTGAAATTCTGAACATTTGTTACAGTATGCCATCCAGCTGTCCCACAGTTCCTCCTCTTCTGTGGGTAGCAATGTAATAAATGTTTTATCAAGCTAATCAATGGCCACCTACCCACAGATGAAAGCAGGCAAGTATTCCTACCTGGCATATAGCTATAAAATGCAACTTGTATTATAGCTGTAAAACGACATATAAAACCAGCGAAGCTGAGGAAGAAGTGTAAATAAATGTAAAAGACCAAAGTAATTACAAATAGGTAAATACCACATGATTTATAGAACAGCTAAAGCTCAACAATCCTTGCCTTTAAGGGTAGGACAGCAAAGGCAGCCCTAGAGGGAAACCTGCAGTAAAAGCCTATCCTTCTGTAAATGTGTGTGTACAAATTGTACAGTAACACATAATAGGGGCAAGAAGTCAGGAAGGCTTCTCCCTGTTTAATAGACAGTGGATCACTCACCACATCCACCTGCTTCACTTTAGCATGATAGTCTGCAGTACATTACCTCAAGTCTTAGTTTTATGTAGTTACCTTACTTCAATATCCTGTGCTTTGGTCATAGCTAGAAAGGAAACAGTTTTCCTGTTGTGTGCATTGCATTCACACATGGAAAGAGAAAGTTCACATTCCACACTAAGAAAGGTCTTTCAGTGGATTGGTTAGGCGTTATAAATATGGCCATGGGGATGTGAGAAATCATGGCTCAGGTCCCTGCAGCCATTGCTCCATACCCTAGGTGAGTGGCTAAGCCTAGTGTACACTGTCAAGCCTACTGTGTTGCAGAGAATGAAATGTCTCTCTGCACCATGGGCGGGAAGGCCAGCAGAAGGCAGCGCTTCAGTAGAACCCAGCTATCCTTCTTTTGTGCTTTTTTAAGGTTCATGGTCTGGTAAAAGACACGTTTGTTACATCTGTCATCAGTAGCCACAAAATTTGGATGAAGTACTTGGGCCAGCAACAGTAAACAGTCCTGTTTACAAATGAAAATTCTGCTAACAGGAAGGTTCAACCATACCTGACTGACAAAGATGAGAAGGAAGTCGGCCATTAGCTTGCTTATCTTTGGGCAGCATGACGGGTCTCAGCTGATGTGACAGTATCATTTCATTCAATTTTTGCTGCAATGCTAAGTAGTCTTCAGATAATTTTGATATCTGAAAAACACAACACAGGATTTATATTATTATATAAATAGGTATATATGTTCAAGGTAATCAAAAGGAAAGTAGTAGACTAGAGAATGAATTTAAATGGTATTGCAATACCTACTGCAGCGTAGACCCCTACCACATTTACCTGCCCATCCTCCTTAGAGAGGAAGAAGAAGAAAATGAAGCAGAAGAAGAAAAAGACTCCTAGGAAACTCCACATTGCCACCCAGTCTTGCAGCTGTTTCATATTGGTTCACATATATGAGTAGATGATACCTTGCTGATGCAAATTAGCTTCTACAGCTGTAGACATCTCTGCACATGTGTGAGTGACTGACATTAACACAGCCGCTTTGAGTTTCACTTACAGAGACATTTTGCAAGTTTACTGGTTTGAGGGCCTTGCCTGGTAAATGCACATTTCAACAAAGGCAAAGCTTCTGCATTTAACTTAAACCAGGTTAAAAGTAATAACATTTTTTGCCAGTGCTCTTTGTCTTTTCTTCCTTCCTGAAAAGGGTATTTTCTCTTGCAGCCCAAAATACACATTTTTACAGAACACTCGTTACAAAATCTCAGTCTTAGTTTAGAGAGTAAAACTTTGGTGGCACTGAAGCCAGTAAAAGAACCTTGCCATACTGTCAGTGTTTGGAGTATTATGCTCAACATACATAGCTTACAAGCTTCTTACCTGTCGTGAAAAGGCTGCCAAGTCACAAGCCTCTTTCTCTGAGTCTCCCTTTGGTGTCTTAGAGTCTTCAGCCTCTGTACTAATT